CGGCGGGGGACGCGCTCCCTCTCCCTCTCGGGGCTCTCCTCGCCCTGGCATCACCCTTATGCAGCCCGAGAAGGGGACAGACTGTAAGACGCCCATTTTGTCTTCCCACAATAACGTCAATAGCGGAGGCGTCAGGCTGCCGTTTGCTAACACAGAACCGAGCAGGTGGGAAAGTCACTCCGTATGCAATGACAAAAACTGACCGGTGTAACCTAAGGAAACCAGGTGAGAACAGTGAAACATCTCTTTCAAGTAAATGCCTAGTTTTGGAGGTCCTACGTTTTACTTCAATGAACTTATCCTATGAATTTGTCCAGGGAAGTTCAGTCTCCAGGAGGGAAACTTCCCTTGTTGCCTTGCCCCTTCCTGCATAGGGCATGGCTGCATTAACATTTGCCATGAAGAGGCACAGTATTCACCCCCACTGACGCAAAGCCAAACCAAACTGAAAAAGCACATCGTGCCAAGTGCTCTGAGCATCTTCACCAACAGAGACCCCTGTTTTAGAAAACAGGGACTGAGGCCGCTCTGTGCTGAGAGATCGAAGCACGGGAACGGGAGAACAAGCATGGTACTCTTGCATCCAACTTCTTTCCTTTTCAGGGACGAAACCTTACTAAATCACAAAACCATGCGAAGTCACATCCCCTCCACCAATACCAGAACTGCCAATTGCCAAAGGAATTATGGCTGAGGCATGTATCTGGTCTCCTTGACCTAGGATTCCTACAAAAGGAAGAGGGATATAGCACCCATTTAGTGAAAGGAAGTATTAAGAGTTTCAAAAACATTGGGTAATAATGGCTTCAACATGCAATTGGCTGTAATCCATTTTTACCTAATAGTAATTTTTGCAAATTATGTATGTGAGGCATTGGCCTCTTCAGGGTTTAAAAAGAGAAGTAACATACTTTTCCTTTAGCATACAACATAAAATGCTGTAATAAAGTGAACAGAATAATTTTTAAAAAGCCCACAAATTCACACAGCCCTACATCTGTGAAGACACACATACCCTTCCCTATTCCAGGTCTTATGATCCTGACTCACTCTGAACCTATCAAGCCTGTGACATTTCTTTACCATGCCATGTGATCTCTTACTACTCAGTCCCTCCTTCGGAGCTCCTAGCAGGAACATCTTGTCCTGCTAATGAAAAGCTGGTCAACAACATCTTCTTCACTATTACTTTGTTTTCAGTTTTCTGCATGGCATGCAAATGCTACAATTGCATCAGTAATATCACAGCTACTTCTCACAAATGAACAAATCCACACACACAGAACTCATCAGGCACAAGAACTCTTTTAAAACTCCTTCTATATTGGAATTCCTGGGAGACATTAGGGCATTGTCTCAATTATCAAGAGCTTGCTGAAGGTATTTGAAAGTCATCAGCCACATTTCCTAAAGAAAATCCAGGTTCTACACACCATTCCAGTCACTAAATCTTCTGCAGACCTCAGACCTAAGAGTAGACACGTTTTCTCCCTCCAGCTCACCAGCTCTTCGAAGTAGTCTGTACACTTGGTTTTAAAATTACAATGCCCCTTTTGAAAGAACGGGTATCAACTTGAATTAAGTCTTATCTGTCTACATGATTAAAGGTAACAGCCCTGCAGGGTTTCTCGTTTCATGGATTCTAGCAAGCTAGTTCGATGATGAAGCTTTCCTGATAAGTCATGGAACCCACACTTCTTTAGGAGAAAAAATAGGAATCAGGAAATGCAAACATCTTCTTAGCAGAACCAACACATCTGACAGAACATGCTGTCAGGGGAGAGGCCACATTGCTGCAGCTCCCTTGAACACATACCCTTCGCTCCTCACCTACACCTCATCTGCTTTTACTCACCTCTTCCGCAATGATAATTGCGGCAGTAGTTGTGCACGTGCCATAGCCCGCACATACTGTGGGAACTGGGCTGTGATACAAGTTCTCCCTAAGACTGCAAACATGGAAGTCACAGCACATGCCTGCTGCATGCTAGGCAGCAGATGCTGCTTTCCTAGGATACAGAAACTCTGCCAAGTAAGTGGAAAAACAAGAGCAGCTAACTAGGGGAGCAACAAGCCCCCTGCGGAATTCAGGCCAACTTCAAATACTGATGCAAGTTACTACAGGGATGGAGGCGTAGAAGGCAGAGAGGACTGCTCAAACACACCATAGCTGTAGGCTGAAAGCACCACACTACTATTACATTTATTTTAGTCTTTAAATTATTAAACTATGAATGCGATTAGGGAAACTGTTTAGATCTTTCACTTTTGTTCAGAAATTTATTATTTGGCCTATCTTACTAGCTTTTCAAATGACAGACTTCCACTGTTTTCAAGCTTAACAAGAAAAAAAAAGAGCTAATCAGGAATCACTGCATTGTAAATACCGAACAATAAAGAGTTAAAGAAAAGCAAGGGAGCTTTGTGAAGAGGTTAACCCTCTCATGTAAGAGAAGAGGTAGTAAGAAAGTGGAAGGACACAATGTAAACCTTTCTACTCTTGGCCTAACTTTTATTAAATAGTACATACAAACTTCTTTTGTGCTTCCAGTAGAGAACATTTTTCCCCTATTTGTCTCAAAAAACACCCAAACATATAGGACTTAAAAAAAACCCAAACAACAAACCAAAACAAAAACAACAAAAAATTAAATAGCCGGTTTCATGTAGCTTTATTTCACAAAACTTCCTCTCCCCAAAAGGACACGGAGGTAACGTTTGTTTCATCTGTATCAATTAAGCATAGGAAATAGAAGTCAAAGTGTTTTCTAATTAAAGATTCTACCTGTGGCCTGAAGGGGATGGCAGAAGGGGATGCAACTTTTGCAGAGGCAGACTGAGGTGGTACAGCCACAATTTTTCTCTGCCCACCCACGGAGGGTTTGCTGCCCCCACAGCACAGCTCGCAGAAGATACCACGCACTTGTGCCTCAGCTACTCTACTGTAAAGTGCCATGTTTCAGCATAAATTGCTGATAAAGATGAGCTAGAGCTAAGCTACCAGACCTTACAGTGGAATGAAGTACAGGCACATGTTCACCTCCGCTGACATAGCTGAGTAAAGAACCAGAAAAGCTGACTCCCTGTGCCATTCCAGCAGCAGCCTCGTCAGCTCCCTAGAAGTCCAGCTGTGCTCCAGCTTGCCTGGTAATTATCTGTTGTAAAGATTATGAACCCAAATTAGGGCTTTTGTCACACAGTCCACAATGGGTTTCCATGTGTAAGTTATTGCAAGTGAAGCCTCTACAGCCAAGCAGAGAATAGAAACAAAACACTGTCCAAAAGCTCTTTTTCATTTGAACAGGAGAAACAAAAAGCAATTACATAGAATAGAAATATGTAGCTTTGACTGAAACACAGTGATCTCAGAGTACCTCTTGGCCACAGCGACCAACTGGGACAGGAAAGCCCATCATCAAATCACTTATATGAAAGGCAATTCTAAATAGACATGGGAAACAGAGCTATCCCAGCACTGTGTACTCCCATCAAAGCCTCTTTCAAGTAAGGTAAGCAGTACTTGCACCTTCTAGAAAGCAACGCCATATTCTTGTAGACGAGTGCCAACTTCTTGGTGGGAGATGTTAACCTGTGCGAGAAGAGTTCTGCTGAAATGTCTAGTTAACATCTGCCTAACATGAGTAGTCAAGCACTTGTGGAGGAGCACTGCAGGAGTGGGTTTGGTGATGTTTGTTTTTGTTGGGAGTTTGTTTTGTTTTGTTTTTTGTCTGTTTGTTTGTTTTAATTAAATCATGCAGCACATGGAAGGTAGGGGCAAATTATTTTTCCAGGCATCCACCACATTGCCGGCAATGAGATGTGCCACAACAGCAAGTGTTAGCTTTGTGCAGCTGTTACCTATAGGTCAATGGCATTTAAAATAGAAAAATCTTTCTTACACAGTGTTATGAATAAAATTGCACTTGATTTTGTTAAAAACTCATGTCACTGTAACTTTTCTAAATATTTCCTTTCTCTCATCTTAATTTTCTTCATTAACAGGAGCTTCTCTCTAAAAACCTCTCATTCATGTTGGACACATGACATACAACAGCAGTAAGCCATTACCTACCAGAAAACTGGTCTTTTGTTTCTTCTTATTATTTCTATCTGTCCCCACCCTCCCCCCAAAAAAGGTACAGGCAGTTCACCTCTAAGTGTCAACTGTAACACTGAAATATAAACTCCTCAAGCAGACATCAGGAATTTTAGTTTCACAGATTAAATATTTGAAAAGTTACAGAAGGTGCTGGAATAGTACACATTTAAATTGCTTAAAAATCCAAACTTGCAGCAACTTTGTAAATTCAAATTTCCAAAAGGTTTGTATTGTCCTTGTGAACTTCTTCCACAGCAAGATGCTCTTGTGACAATAAAGCATCAAACTTCCAAGGCTGAGATCAAGAAACAAGTCAGCAGGATGCACTTGCTCCACCAAGCAACTTTAAAAGAGGCGTCTCCACTTCCAATAGCAAAAAGCTACTCCTTCATTCCATTTTGGACCTTTCAAAGTGTGTAATCATTCTTTCCTGGAAAATAAAAGACCCAATGTTGTCATGCCCCCCAATCGGTTTACATTATTCAGAAATACGGTGGTATGCTTTGCGCATTGATAAGAAACACACTCGTATGCATTTAAGTCAGGAGTCCAACTTATAGAGCAGATACACCACTTCTTTTAGAATACACATACAGAATACATGTTTGTATTCTAAGTTGTATGATGGCTGTCCCTGTTATCCTTCCCCCCCCCACCCACACCACACACACACACACACACCCCCCCCGCCCCCGTAGAATTTTACTGCTGCACTGGCAAGATCAGAGAGTCCAGTTCTAATAAGCCAAGTCCTTAACAGCTGACTGATGACTCCTCTGGCATGTCAGAGACTAATTTGAACTGAAGATTTGTTTACTGACCTCATCTGAATCCAGAAGAGCTGGAAGAGCACTGCAGGGGACGGAAAAAAAAAGTTAAAGAGAATTAGAGCACCTATTGAGAGCATATTATTGACAACAATTTTTAGCCTTGGTGTTTCACCTTAAGCTTTTTAGGGCACAGGAGATAATAAATAAATAATAAAGATAAATCTTTCAAATAAACAGACAGAAATTAGAGAAATATGCACAAAAGAAGTAGTGCTCTGTACTTAAATCCAGAGCTTCTGCCAAAATTACTGTTCAGATTTGTGAACATAATTAATCAGTGAACTTCTGTTTTGCTATGCAAAATTTAGACACAGACACTGACACTTTCAGGACGTAAAAGTTATTAAAAGTAGAATAGATATGGACCGCCTACATAGCTGACTATATTGCCAGAAGCATAAAAATGACTCAAGAGACATTCCAAATAAAGTTGAGAACTGAATGACATTATTCAGTGGTTTACATTCGGCAAGATACTCAAGGACTTTTCAGAGCACTGAACAGAAAGAGAGAGTTGGTTTATTCTTTGTTTTCTGGATTTATTTATTTAGTTTTAACTTAAGTGGATTTATTTAGTTAGTTTTAACTTAAGTGGATTTATTTATTTAGTTTTAACTTAAGCGCAGTGCAAACAAATCCGTCTGTGATTTCACAATCTGAAACGATGTTCCTTAGGTCAGTATACGTTCAAGTGACATAAACTGTAAGTCTGAGAGATTGCATAAAGCCAAGTGAAAGCATTCTAAGAAGTCAGAAGCCAATTCCAGGCTGAACTCAGTATCTGCTCATGTAAGCGCAGCATACAAGTTATAAGGCATTCTAATGTATAGGTGCTCCTGTGTCCAAGGAACCTGCTTTTATTGTGACTATAAAAATACTCACACATCTGTCACTGATGAAGGAACATTCTCCTCTACCCACTTCAGGTCATCCTCCTGCTGCAAGAACAGAAATTAAATGGAAAACAAAAGTCAGTTTTCCCAAAATGCTGTCACATGCAAGCCTTTTTCTTCTCAGCCTACTTGACAAAACCCAATGTGTTTATAATGTCAGTTCAGGATAAAAAAAAAAAAAGAAGAAAACAACCCCCACCCACCCACAAAAAAACCCACCTTCAACTTGATTTCTGTGTTAGAGGAAACATATTCCAAGAAAAAAGAAAACCACAAAAACCCACATATAACTAACTGTCAATGATGTAATAATCTAATGGCGACTAGGAAAAGCAGGCCCTCAAGGCTCTTTGGTTATTTACATAACCTAGTTTAGTCTCCCACAAAAGAACATTATCTTTAGAAGATGTTAAAAATGAAAAATTGTTATAAAAAGCACAAGCTAGATTTTGCAAGGGTAAGTTAAACTGTATTGTCAGGATTTCTCATTTCTGAACTCTCTAATTCACAACACAATCACACTTGTTTTGAAGTTGGAGAAGCGACCCCTTCTGATCCCCTCCATCCCCAAAACAGCAAAGCTTGATGCTTGATTTTGATGTTATCCTCAGATAAGTAGTATACAGTTGCAACCAGCCTTCGAGAAAAACAATGACGAAAAGATTACTGCTACGATAATGAATTCCTACAGGTTCTTGCCATTTTTAAATTTATGCATGAAATCCATGAAAAGATTCTTAGACGTATTTTCTACCTCCTAGCTGAATGTGAAACTACCTCTGCTTATAAGCCACATGGAAAAAATGTGGATATATTACAAATGTTCCACTCAAACTATTTAGGTAGCTACAAAACAATATACACATCATCCCATTTGAGTAATGAATCACAAATCTCAAGATTAGAAAGGCAATTAATTTATGTAAAATATGGCTCAGTCTCAGTTACAGTTCTGTCTCCTAAAGAACAGACTGAATTTAAAGCTTCCATTGCACTTACAGGAAATTAGACGAAAAACTTGTATGTACTTTCTTTTCAGAAGTACTGTAAACATACAATACTTTGACTCACTCCCCACTCTGAAGCAAACCAGCACACTTACATTTATAGGCTCAACACTTTGCATATTGCACTCCCTACTACTGGGAGACAACCGAACAAGAGAGATGGATCTATATCCTTTGAGGTAGAGAGGGCATACTCACAGCTTTATTTGCTTTTACATTGCCATTTGGTTCTTGCTTTGTACTTCTCATTTTCATTCCCTCTGAAGACAAAATAAGGAAAAAAAAGATTGGGACAACTGAACTATAATTGTTCATGGACTATAAGTCAAAGTGTTGAGTGTTTATCCAGAATATTTCATCAAATCCAAAGAGACAAAGTATGATAAATTATTAAGATGATGCTTTCCCTTTGAAAGGCTTGTATTTTTCTTGACAGGTGGAATACCTAGTTTTTCCCGAATTTTGCAATTTTCCCTAGGAAGTAGCAATTTCTAGTCCTTTTCTTTAAACCAGACATAAGTAGCATAGAACTCAGACACAGTCGTCTAGAGTGGCTGTGGAATCCCCATCCTTGTATTTAAAAGCCATCTAGACATGGTCCTGGGCAACCTGTCCTAGATGACCATGCTTGAGCCGGTTGTTTGGACAGGAGGACATCCAGAAGTCCCTTCCAACCTCAACCAGTCTGAGACATACGCAACTCTCAAAATTTATATTACCTACTGACTGCTGACCAGCAACTTGGTTGACTTAAGAGCTGAGAGGCAACATCCATCTCCCAGCCTGGTAGACAGCCAGATACAGCTGATTTGGCAAATGCAGCTAAGGGATTACACACTCCTCCTCAGCTCCTAAACAAGTGAAACAGCACTGATATATACCAGCAGATCGCAGCAGTGGGTATGTCACCCTGCCTTCTACGCAACTTATAAACAATAGTGTTACAAGGACAATAGACATAGCAGAGAGATGGGAGGCAGGGAAGAGAGAGAGTTTTACAGTAGGAAGGGAGGGAGTGGAGAGAAAGATGCAATCTAGTGTTATAAAGCAGGACTCTTTCATTCATAGGTAATTTCACAAATGAGTAAACATACTCATCCACATGTTTACGCTGTACATTCCTGTACTAGGCCCTAATATGGAAAATGAAGAATATTGCTGAGTTCAGTGAACAGATAATAAATGAAAATCCTTAAACTGGATTTTAAAAAAAGAGAACTGCAAACTAAATCACTGCCTAGCAACAATATCCAAGAGATCCTCAGATATCCATCATCATGGCTGGATCCGAACCTATGACTCAACACATTTATTAAAACAAAGTCCAGTGGACATAGCAAAGCAACCACAACAGTAGTAATGTGTTCAGTGTCATTGAAAACCCCAGAATTAAACAGGCAATGTAAACACTAAACATAAAGCCAATGTTTCCTCTACAACCACATAAATCAATGGCAACAAGGAGGCATTGAGTCTGCTTTTACAGCAGTAATAAACCTTTAGCCAGAGAACGAGACCTCCCTCCATGGAAGTGTCTCTTCAACACTGAAATTAGGTGGGGAAAAAAGTTTTTCTTACCAAAGCTTTCCTTTAACATTGGCTCTTTCTGCTCATCATCATCCTCCTCTTCAGACAGTGGTGAGAAAGCAAACCTTGAGGAGGGAGAGAATGAAAGCTATCTTAGAATATCTGTTTCCACTTGAGAGATTCATTACCACAACACTCACATGATTTAATTTTTCTGAGTAGTTCATTGTTTTTAAAACCTATGCTCAACTACATAATCAAGAGTTTGAGTAATTTCTTTTGAAGAAATTACTGGAATTTCTGTATATACCTGGAACAGAGTGAATTTTATCTATGTGACTTCCTACACTTACTTTTCCTAAAGCCTCTACACACACTACTTAGTATCCTTATGGATCAGTATATATAACTAAAAATCACCCACCAGTACTTCTTTGGATAAACAAGCACTCCCAAAAAAACCCAGTATTTTTAAAAAGTGTTAAGAAAAGCTGAACCTTTGGTTGTTAGCAGATGGTCTCCACAGAATCATGATGACAAAAAGGATCATTGAAAACAATAAACGCCAGATGGCATCATCCACCCATAGCTCCTGCCAATCCTGTCAAGGAAAACAGCAACATAAATAGAAAGAGTTGTGAAGAAAGAGACTGTTGTCTTCCCACAACAGTGAGAATTTTTAGCATGTGGTGTATTACTCTAGACATAATCCACAGAAAAATCTGTTCCAGAATGTCCAATCTCACCTCTTACACTACCAAACGAAAACTTATCAAGAGGCAGCAATTGCGGAAAGCATTCAATATAAACTCACCGACTGACAGTCCACCAGCCTGAACTTCATAGTGGTCCAGATGATAAATACAATAGATGCTGCAAGATTAAAACAAACAAGTTGCTTATTAGTACAAAACATGCTAATCCAAACACACTAACAGGACTGTTTCCCAAATGAAGGGCAAGGACCTAAACAGTGAATTCTTGGAATCCAATTTATTAGTTTTAGAAAACAAGAGATTCATTTATTGCACTGACCTTACACAGTAGTTTAGGCACAGATCAGCATATTTTGTTCTTGGTTCTTCAGAGACACAATGTATAAATCAAATATTAAATATTTGGCCAAACTCCTCATCCCTAACATTTTTTTCATCTAGTCTCCAAACCATGGTTTCATTATCAATTGACAAATAAAGCCTACCTTGAAATAAATGAACCATTTGATCTGCCTGAAAACCTAAGCATTCAGTTCTTGACCCATAAGAGTTCCAATGCTCAAACTATGATCTCATAACAGTTTTAGAAGATGAGACTTCGCTCCACTAAGGTGTTCTACGATGACTAAGAACTAGATGCTGCAAGGAATTTAATCAGACCTGCTGATTAAAAGGAATGCACCTTTATGTTTGTTTAAATAAAAAACCACAGTGCATAGAAGTTTTCTACTCATTGTATGGATGGCATTTCCAAATAGAGGAGCTGAGCAGCTGGAAGCACCAATAGATTTATTCTTGAAGTTCAGTTCATCACTACTACAAATGGAAAGAGAATCTGAATCTGTATTCTTCCTGAATACAGAGGGTTCTGAATCTGTATTCTGTATTCTTCCTGAATACACAGTGACACTGTGATTTTGGCAAAAACTGATTATGTTACAATACTAAGCATACTGGTTTTCCAAGAATCACTCTGGTCTTTAGACAACTTAAAAATCCCATAGTACACAGTGACACTGTGATTTTGGCAAAAACTACCTCTGTGAAGTTAACAGCATAGGATAATAATCTTTTGCCCTCAGCAGCTTTAGGAGGGATGAAAGTGCTCTATTAGAGGAGCTGCATAGAACTACTGATCTTATTAACATCAGGACTAATAATCCACTGCCCCTGAGGTATCAACATTAACACTTGGTATAGACCCTCTATTAGAAATGGGTCAAGTGTTAGAAATACCAAGTACTTTGATTGCATTTAAAGAAAGGTCACCAAACTCAAAAATCTGCTTTAGTGATCAAATCAAGCTGTATATGGAAATGGAAAGTGCTCTTACTTGAGGAACATAATTTTCTGCTTACCTGCTACTGCCAAGATGAGTGTATTGGTGAAGTGCCGATACAAAGACAGTTTCACAACATTCCTTCGAAGTTTCAGCAGTTTCATTGTTTGAGTTAAGCTGATGAATATGTATGACAAGTCAAGGAGAGCCTCTCAAGGAACCAGCTGGTCACAAACTTAGGAGGACACAGATCACATGATTAACAGCTCTCCCACCAATACACTTAGCCCTCTAAAAAGGCAGACCAGACTCAGTAGAAGAAAAGTTCATCCAGGATCCATCCCTTTCACGTTATTTAGTCATCTAAACCTACAGCTCTTGTCACACAAAGATGGTATCGAAGCATCTATTTTGGACTATGGCCCATCACTCCAGAAAAGTATCAAATGTATTTCTGAAAAATGGAAAATCAAGTCTGAACTAGAAGTGAGTTAAAATCCAGTTAGACAGTGCATACACGTCTTCACCCTTTTGCCTACAATTTTACTTCCATAGTGGCAAAATAAGTGCTTAGGAGAGACATCATAGTAGGAGAGAATTGGAGTTGTCATGGCTGGGCAGCAAGCTGTTCACATTTTAAACAGTTTTGTGATTGACTTTCACTAAAAACACTTTCTAGGGATTTTGCTACACATGTCTGAGTTTGGCATTTGGAAGCAGTTGCTAAAGTCACAGAAGATTATGGTTGTTTGGACGTAATATGTCAAGACACCAAAAAGTTAACACTGTCCTACTTTGTCACATAACTACTTCAAGATGAGTTCAAATTTTACGGAAGGAATTTTAGGTTTGATGTTGCTAAGAAACCTTGTCCCCAAAACATAAACTGAGTCTGTTCTCTAAATGCTACTACTATGGTACTGTTACAGTGCTGAACTAGAACAAATTAATTTCATACTTCAACAGTCAAAGACTGATAACAGACCGACTTGTCTATGTTCAAGAGCCACTCTAATACAGATATCTACTAGTCACTTAGTTTTCCTTCCACTGGCTGTAACAGAAGCTTACTTGAAAACTCAATTACAGAGGTTCTATTAACTTTACTGGAAGTAGAAAGAACATATACTTGAAGCCAATTTAAAAAAAAATTTCAGCCAAAAGGACTCCCAAAAACCCCACCAAATTTGAAAGAAAACACACCCCACCAAGTAAAATAGTGAAGGATATCCACCAGCACAGGGCAGTATCTAGGAAAGCCAGGGGAATAAAAGCCAAGGAGGCAAGATCATTCTGGGCCTGGAGACAAAGAGAGAGTCAATGAGAACAAACTGAAAAGGAAACAAGGTACAGAAGAAGTGAAGAGGGTCAGGCTATTTTGAGAAACCACAAATACTCCACCACAATGCTTCTGAGTTTTGCTACAGAAGCAGAGGGTTAGAACCAAGGGTTTAGCCCAATGCACAGAGAGGAACTGACAATACCAAATTGTCAGTTCTCAGTTCTCCACCAGCAAGTAGTTTTCCAGATTAAGTCAATCTAGAACCATTAAGAGAAGCCTCTGCTGAGGCAATTGCTGCAACAATGTGCTCTGGCCACTTCCATTACAGAAAACTAGCAATCAGCTTGTTAGAAATGTAGTAATTAAATCTTTTACACTATCCATGGACAAACCGAATGCTCCACTGGCAACCATGAGTTTCACTGAAAGCGGCAAAAATTGCCTTTGTGTGTACATCAAGAACTATCCAAGTCCCAGCTGAAACAAGCATATCACCTTTTATTCCTTTTAGGTATAAACCAGAAATAATAAGCTTGTAACATTCTGCAGTTTATGAAAGGATATCCACAAAATAATACAGGCATCAATCATGGACAGGGCCAAGTTTGCTATCAGAGCCACAGTGTCATAGAAAAACTGAAAAAGTACCAAATACATGACATGTTAAATAGCTCATCCTAAAATACAAAAAAACAACCAACAAAATCTACATCCTAAGACGCACTTCTTAATGAAGCAAGTAGCAGCACCACTCACACGCACTTCCCCAGGTACAGCCTCCAAAATTGGAGTGGTGGTGTTGTGGTTTTTTTTCAGACTCACGGCCAGGTAACTCAAGCTGTACATTTGTGTCTGCAACTAGCCCTACCTAATCTGAAGTATTAGACACAAGAGTCCAAGCAGAATATAATGTCTGAAACCTTACTAATCAGAAAACTATTAGAGTTATTTCAAAATACACAGAATTACATCCTGATAAATAGAGAAGACATCAATAATCCATATCCACAGTCTCAGAGTTTAACCACTTCATTATCTGTTCCCTTCTTCCAGCATAGCCCTGGGATTCTCCCTTAGCATCTAAGTAAATAAAGCCAGTAGCATCTGTGGCATACGGGAAAATTCAAGTACTTATTACTAACCCCTGTGACTCTAAGAACACCTTCCATGCCGGAAAATAATAGATAAAGGGCTCCAGCCATAACTACTTTGTGAAGAGTAACTCCAAGACGAGGCCTGTAGGAAAATAAAGTGAAATTTAGATTAAGTGGGGAGAAAAAGTGAAGTCATGTCAAGTTAAGTCTAACATAAGGCATGAAGCATGAGAAAAAGGTCCTTGTGACAAGCCATTTCTAGATCCAAAAATAATTTTATTATGGCGCTCGAAGCTTACTATTTATTTTGTCTTATGGTATGATGAGACTAAAGAAAAGATTGGTAACAGTGCTATTTCCTAGTTAACCTGTTTAGCTTTTTATGAACATTTCAAGAATTCTCACCCCACCTCTTCTTCACTAATTCCCACACATCTGCTCTTGCTAGAAGCTTCCACTACCTCACAGCATGTTGTCTTACCATTGCATAAAGCAGTGGACAGACAGATGAGCAGCAATCTTGGCAGCAGAAGCCTTCTAAAGCAGATCCTCTCCCCTATCAGTGATTCTTGACCTCCCCCATTTCTAGAAGCTCCTCCTTGTCCAGAAGGAAGGCAAATAAATCTCCATTCCAGTCAATGGAGTATCTTAACAGGGACTCAGAAACCTACCCAACAGTGGTACATAGAAGGGGGTGGGAAGAAGTGTAATCACCATATCGAATTGTATGTCTCTGTAGCCTAGTGAAGTAGTAAAGACCTTTACAGCACTTAACTAAAGCACCTACCTTTTAAGTAGCAAAATGCAAGATGAATACTGCCCTAAGTTATTAAAAAACAGCAGTGAAAAGCTTTTTAATAAAACACAACAAACCTGTAATAGATTTACTCACTTGACTATCCCATATCCCAGGCTGACTATGATGACCAGAGTTCGAGCCAATGAGCGCTTCACAGCAGAAAGCAGTTCTGCCAGTATCACTGCTCCTTGAACTACCAAAAGCAAAGAGAAGGAAGCTAGATTATTAAAATGTAATTTCTGCTTTATTATCTACTGCATGCAATTGTAGTATGAGAGCAGAGAATTTTTTTTCAGGAAGTAGGCTATAAAGTATATAATCTTTTTATTACCTACAACCAGAGTAAGCATTCAGAAAAGATAAGTCGCTTAGCATAAAAAAAAGCTACTGAAAAACTTTACATCCATAGAAAGTGAAGAGTAAATGATCCATAAAATGTTTATCCATAAGATCAACCTGGACAATCTTCCAAACAAGTCAGCCAACAAAACTTTCTGTACCATAGGTGTGGCCAATTAAAAAAAGTCATAATGAAGTTTTACTTGCAGTTTCATTTGTATGCATCCGTCCTAAACACTCAAAACCAAAGTCCTTAAGTTTTACATGGAGAGAATCACTTAAGATTGATTATCAGGCTATGGGCTGAATATCAGAAGCCACCTGAAATGCTGACATGTTGATCAAGGAGTTTCAAAGTCTCTTTCCAAGGCCAATACCAGTTGTCAGAGAAGACTTAAAAACTACACTTAGGAAGTCCTATTTTAAACTTCAAGCCAGCACTACGGTGAATATTCTCCAGAATCTAGCATTTTATATCCCTAAAAGACTACACTCGGAGTCAGAGAAGTCACAGCATTTCAACTTTAGAAGAGCACATATCATCATATTTACAACATATAAAAAAATGCAGAAACTCTGGTTCCCTGTTCTTTGTTTTGAAACAATCCTCAAGTAATTATCTGTCACCCCAATTTAGCATAAGTCATTAGTGCTATGCCCCATCAATTAAACTGCAAGCTACAATTGCTACCTACCAGATTCCCCTGTGTAGCGGATGTTCTGGAACTCTGCATAGAAAACTGCTTTTTCGAGCATTCCCAGGAATATAACAGCACCAATCCAGAACTGGATCCTCAGGAGATCCCGCCAGTAACAGGCTGACCATGCAAGCCATAGGACCCCGAAGAATACGTACACAATACACATCACCATGAAAAACTATTACACAAAAAGAAGCAAAAAAATAGGAACCTCAGACCCAGAAAAATCATCATCTTGTTTCCATTCCACAGCTGTAAGACACCTCTATTTTCTCTAAGTATAGCAACTTTTGAAATTTTTATATACAGAAGTGACCAGAAACAAGTATTGCTTCATTTGTCTTCAATGGATTCTTCTACAGTGACAGTTTAATTTCCCATTGCCAAAGGGAATCACAGTCGAATTTCTGAGCAATTTCTCTCTTGAAGAGCAGTCTGCCAATTTATTCACAGGCATTTTTTTTAAGGAAGGTATCTGAGTTTTTGAAAGCTAGTAGCACTTGATAAGAGCTCAGGCAAATCATCAAGTATTACTCTGTCCCTTCTCACTTATTATTCTATCACTAACTTCATTCTACACTTACAGCACTCCGTGAATTAGCAGAGCAACCTTTACACACTGTTCCACAGAACAGAGATAAGCAACTGATGGTTATAATCCCTCTGTTCAAATAATTTTATAACTTCTCTCAAAAGTTATTTTCCAGTAAACTCAGTTTTTGACCAAGCTTTAGGTCAGCCAAAAATCTGGAATTGAAAAAGAAACCCAGATATTCATTTAAATATCATTTTGCAGTTGGTTGGTGGTTTTTGTTTTGGTTTGTTTTTTTTCTATCCAGTGTTACTTGCTTCAGAAGAACTTTCAGGGTACCTGTTTCCTACGGTGAACAACAAGCTTGCCAATGCTACTCAGTGCTGAGTTTTCTAAACGACAGCACCATACCAGGGCAAGTTATGTTTTCAAAAAGGACACTGAGATTAAGAAAAGGGATAAGAAGGAGAGAGTAAGACATTAAATGAACAGCAGGAAGTACTTAGCCCAAGTATTGAATGGCAATAATCAAGCAGCCGCCTCCTCCTCCTCTTGCAGAAGGTAGATTTTTTTTTTTTTTAAACCAAGCATTGAAGTTAGCTGCACAATCCACTGAAGCTTTCACAAAGTGAAAACACCTTCCTTAAGAGAACAGCTTAATGATCCTTACAGATTTTCCCATCTGACTAATCCATGCAGTTCAAATGGTAAGGACCTAGACACGCTAGTTCACGTTCAGAAACATTACAGAAACATTTACACAGACACCTTTTCCTGGACCTGCCACATGGAAATATTCACACTAGGGAATTACATGTCAACAGAGCTGCTGGAGGCTTTTTACTTCTGTCAGGCTCTCCTATTTACAGGCCACCCTTGCCAATACAGTCAGGCTAGAGAACTTACTTGTTATTGATCCCCAGCTAAAGTCTGTCTATACTACATAAATATTTAAGTTGTTTTATTTTCTCAGCCTCCTGGACAGAGGCAACTAGCAACCAGGTCAACAACTCTTTTGAATAAAAAGGGGATTAGCTCTTTGTAGTTGAGTTATGCTTTCGCTGTTAGGCAGTATTAAGGACCTCCTCATGGAGTGTAAGACAGCTGGTGGAAGAAGGAAGATTAAGCTGTAAAAGAACAAAGAAAGCAGTGACAAATGAAAGGGTAGCTGTAAACAAAAGCATAGAATAGCAAATTTTCTAAGACATGAGTTAAGGAGAAAAACAGTGTCAGTAGAACTGCTCAGAGCTAATGATACTTTTAACTTCTGGAACTAAAAACTGATAGGCATCAAGTCAAACAAGCCAGAGAAGGACCACATCACAGGCACATGCAAACTACTGAAATCTGTTTTCCCTACCCTGTTATTTAGGGTGTGTGTGTGGGGGGAAACACAACAAAATAAAAAACAAACCACAAAACCACCAAACCAAAAAACACCCTCTCATCCTCTGCTAAACTATTTTTTTCTGAGACACTAGCTTTGTTTCCTAAAGTAAGGAAGGAGAGTATTTAATTGAGATTCAAATCAACTGACAACTTTACAAGCCAAAGAAAAGCTGTTTTACTTACAATCATCAGAGGATAGTCTGCAAGTGAGAGATACTCATATGGCCCCTTCAGTTCTACTGTCACTGTCAAAAGACAATTCAATAACCAAATTGAACAAATACCAGAGGAAGAAACCAGGATAAAATACTTAACTAATTTTTACTCAAGCATAAAGAAATTCCAAATCTTCACATAGCTTCTAAATGTAACTTGCACTTTAATCAAAGAAAGTTAAGACTCATAACCCACTCAGCTAAAAGCATGCAATTAAAATTACACACTCCATTAACAAGTCACTCATGGCAGTACTTAAAACTAGAAGTTATTTGTGATGGAGATTCATGTGTAACAGGAAAGTTCAGAAACGCACATAAGTTAACTAAGGGGATTTTCAAACTTCTTTGTGTGAAGTGAAAGATAGCATCTTATGAAAATGAACCACAGAATATATATAAAAAGTACCTTAGAATACACTCAGACTGGTACACATAAAAAATGGCACTATATTTTCATCTTACTTAAAAACAGCTATCTTACTTGTAAAGGGCTTATTTTGAGATGAGGAAGGTGTTGTTTTCTCCATTCGTTTAGCTCTGGTAGTAGAATCCTTCACAGCTGTAATTCCAATTTGCACAATAAATATATATGGCCCATCTCGCCAAGTTTTCATAACAGCATTCATTGCCTGGAAACGAAATGTCTACATGTACACAGTGCATAGTCAAGGAGACATGAAAAAGACAGAAACAGACTCGCCATGCACAGGTGATATCTTCCATGTAAAAATCAAGTTCATCCTTTCGCAAGCCAATAACTTGTTAATAAATATTTGATACATAAATTTTAAATCTGTTTATTAGACATAATACTTAAAATTTAGTTGTTTGAATCCAGAAGAATCCTCAAAGACCTGGGAGGTGATCAGGGTTTACTCGCAACTTCAATACCGGCTTACTGCAAGAATCATCTCAAAAGTACTGCAAAAGCTACAAAGAATTGAGCAAAGCATCCTATTCCTTGTTTTCAGTCTAGAAACATTAGGATCGTCACAGAGATACTTCTTTTCTCCTGAAATGAATTGTCTGGGAACAGCACAGCTACACATAACTCAACTCCGTGGTGAAAGCCGAATTTTATAATGTAAGATAGAAGAGGGAGCGAGAAGTAAAAAAATTTCCATAGTAGTCATTTCCTGTGGAAACTACTACTGCCCCTGCAACAGCTCTCATACCTGTAAGACTCAAACCCTGCCAATGAACTAACAGAGGAAGCTTGCCTAGATAAATATTTGCACCACAAAACAAATCAGAGATATCTTTGAGTTCCAGCATACAAAACTGTTAATTCCACAACAGAAGTTCTAGCTGTCTCAGAAACTGCAATAGTTACCAAGAGCTTTACGGTTAAAGCTAAGACTATCTACACATATGCCACTCACATGACCGCTGCAGAACTAACACTTTTTCTTTGTAACAGCCCCTCCAAGAGAATTTCAGTATTAAGAGAGTGCATTTCTTTCAAGAAACCTCCTGACTACAAGACCTAAAGCCAAAAGAATTTTTTTTTAAAAAGTTTATGCTGATATTGACTGAAATTGAAAGACTTAGTTAAAAACACAGTAAACTTAAACCAAAATGGATTAATTTTTTGTACATCAATTTTGCCTTTAAACTATCTTCATCTCTTCCTTCATTGATTCCTTATTTCACAACTGTACATACAGCTATTTATGTTTTAGCTTTAAGGTAAATGGCCCTGTAAGTACACAGGGAATTAAGTACATTTTCTTTGTTGGCATCAAGGACATTCAATTTGAATTGAATCGGGTGACAGCCAACATGGCTTCACCAAAGGCAGATCGTGCCTGACCAACTTGGTGGCCTTTTATGATGGGGTGACAACATCGGTGGACAAGGGTCGACCAATGGATGTCATCTACCTGGACTTGTGCAAAGCTTTTGACACTGTCCCGCACGACATTCTTCTCTCTAAACTAGAGAGGCATGGGTTTGATGGATGGACCACTCGGTGGATAAGGAATTGGCTCAATGGCCGTACTCAGAGAGTAGTGGTCAACGGCTCGATGTCCATGTGGAGACCGGTCACGAGTGGCGTCCCTCAGGGGTCCGTGTTGGGCCTGGCCCTCTTCAACATCTTTGTCGGTGACGTGGACAGTGGCATGGAGTGCACCCTCAGCAAGTTCGCCGATGACACCAAGCTGTGTGGTGCCGTCGACACGCTGGAAGGGAGGGATGCCATCCAGAGGGACCTCGACAGGCTGGAGAGGTGGGCCCGTACCAACCTCATGAAGTTTAACCAGGCCAAGTGCAAGGTCCTACATCTGGGTCATGGCAATCCCAGGCACAAATACAGACTGGGTGAAGAATGGATCGTGAGCA